AAAGATATTGTCTTACTTTTTTTCTGGAAGCTTTATTATTTCACCTTCCCAAGTTAGGTCTGCAGTCTATTCTTGAATTAATTTTTATATATGCTGTCAAGTAGAGGTCAAATTTCATTCTTTTCATTTAACACCCACTGGAGCACATGCTGTTTCCTTTTTAGTCTTTTTTTTTTTTTCTATCAAGCTGTTTGAAGCATATTAGTTTATATATATATATATATTTGGCAGCTGGCCAGTCCAGGGATTGAACCCTGGACCTTGGTGTCATCAGCACCACGCTCTAACCAGCTGAGCTAACTGGCCAGCCCCCTTTATTTATCTTCAAATGAGGGAAGAACTTGTGGGGCAGGAACTGGGGACAGAGCTCAGGACTGGCAGAAACACCCCTCTGGGGCCACACAGTGAAGTCCTGTTGACACAGGGTTGTATCTGTAGTGAAATGGGGCACCATTCCTCTTGAGTTGTCATCAATTGCTGGGAGCAGGGCTGCTTAGCACTCAGATTCTCCATCCTACAACACAGTGGCACAGATGGGACATCTTTACATTTTCTTCTTTAGCCCTGACTCTTCTGCTGCTCTGTAAGCCAAATATAGTTGTTTTGAAAAGGGACTGTTCCTCCTGGGAAGCCCAGTGCCTCGCAAGCCTGGCCTGTGCTCTGCAGTGGCAGGGGTTTCTCTGTAGTGACCTTCCTCACCCTGGTCGTCTGCATTGCTCTCAGTTCTTTTTCTAAGATTGCAGCTGTATTACTGTTCTAAAATACTTGCTGTCTTTCCCTGGGGGAGGATTGAATTTCTCCACCCTGTTGCTGTCAGGCTTGACCATGTGACTTCCTCTGGCCAATGAAATTTGGGTGAATGAACCAGGCGTTTGTTGCAGAATGAAAACTGTCGAACTCTTTCTCTCTGCCATAAAATGTCATGTTGAAGAATGGAACTAGCTAAATAAAATGTCTCAGATACTGGGAGTTTGAGCCTTCCAGATTTTTGGGATGTTGATCTTATCCAACCACTGATGTGTATAAAATAAAGCAAGTGTTATATACTTGTCTGGTTCCCAGTCCTGTTTTAGACAAATGCTACCTTAAGACCCAGCCTTCATATGGGTCTTAAAATCCTACTTCTCACTGCTTGGAAAGGACATGGAGGAAGGCTACTTGAGTCTAGAGGAACCAGATAGCTACCAGCTTGTAAATGGCCTTGGATATTATGCTAAGGGTTCAAGTTTTGTTTGAGAAGGTGCCATAGAAGCAGAGCGCACCTTTTAAGCAGGGTATGTCATTTAAGTGTAATAAGAGCCCTAGAGGGCCGGCCTGTGGCTCACTTGGGAGAGCGTGGTGCTGACAACACCAAGTCAGGGGTTAAGATCCCCTTACCAGTCATCTATTAAAAAAGAAAAAAAGAGCCCTAGATTTGTGTGCAGACTGTGATCATGAGCTGAGCAAGTCTCAGTTTGCTTATTTGTAAAAATGGAGACAGTAGCTATCTCTTGAAACCACAAGGATTGAGTAAGATTATGTAGGTAGGAATCTAGTGATACCTGGTATACAGGGAGCAGTAAGTTGTAGTGCTCTACAGACCAGGCTACACGATTGGTGTCTGATTTGAGGGTTTATGCTGCTTACCACTATATGATACTGTCTCCCCAAAATAAGGAAGATTTCACAGAACTAAACTTTCCAAGCAGCAGACTTAGGTTCTGAGAGGGAAGCCATTTGTTCAGACTGAGTGGACTGGTCTTGGGTTGTACATCAGGATCTTATATGCTAGGTAAACATGGAAATATGCACATTACGAGAGGAAAAAGAATGTACCATTTCAGAAAATACAAGTATAAATGCCTAGCTATCACTGAACCAGTGTCTACTCGGGGAGATTTCTTTGTCTAAAATTGCTTTATAAATCTTTTTTTTTGTATGGCAAGAACAGAATCAAAATAATTGCAACTCCTATTACAAATGGCTAATATCTTTAGGAAGTAAGAGCTCCTGAAATTGGTAAGATGACCAATATTCCAATAGATAATGGGCAAAAGATAGGAATTGCTTAGAGGAAATATTGTCTCAAACATGAAAAAATGTTCAATCTCTCCCCAAAGAGAAATACACATGAAGACTACACTAAGATGTCAGTTTTCCCTTATCAGATTGGCAAAGATCAAACATCATGTACTGAAATTATGAGCAAACCAACTCTCATGTGTCTGGTGAGAGTGTAAATCGGCATCTCTAAGAGGAGGGCAATTTGGTAATTTCTCTAACATGTACATATATTATCGGCTTAGCAATTCTAACTAGGAATTAATCCTTCTGCTATACTCTCATGTATAAATTGGCACATGTACAAGGTCATTTATGATAGCACTATTTATAATGGCAAAAGATTGGAAAAGGCCTTTTTTTTGTAGTTAATTTTTAAAAATTTAATTGAAATGTATTGACTGTATGGCCTGTTATAAGAAAATATCTAAATAAATTCCAGTATATCCAAACAATGTACCATGCAGTCCTTAAAAAAAACGAGCAACTTCTTTTATTTATTTGGGGGAAAGGCATATGACATGTTAAGAGAAAAAAGCAGGATACAAAATTATATAAGCAGTATAATTCTACCATGTAAATACAGTAGTGTCCTCTTACCCATGGTTTCACTTTCCATGGTTTCAGTTACCCTTGGTCAACCACAGTCCAGAAATATTAAATGGAAAATCCTAAACATAAACAATCCATAAGTTTCCAATTGCACATCGTTCTGAGTGGCGTGATGACATCTTGTGCCATCCTATTCGGTATGGGAATCATCCTTTTTTCCACTGTATCCCATGAGTCATTGACATTGTCTGCTCTTAACATCTTTCCATCAACATTACCATGGGTCGATGATCCAGGATCATCCAAAATAGATGATTCTCCTGACACATTGTCAGGTCAAAAGCAGTGTAATGTCATGCCACAATACCTACGTCACTCACCGATTTCATCTCATCGTGTACACATTTTATCATCTCATATCATTACGAGAAGAGTGAGTACAGTACAGTAAAATATTTTTAGAGGCCACATTTACATAACTTTTATTACAGTATATTGTTATAATTTTTCTATTTTATTATTAATTGCCGTTATTCTCTTACTGTGCCTAATTTATAAATTAAACTTTGTCATAGGTATGTATGTATAGGAAAAAACTTAACAGGTTCGGTGCTATCTGTGATTTCAGGCATCCACTGGAGGTCTTAGAACATATCCCCTGTGGATGAGGGGGACTATTGCATTTGTATAGAAAAATCAATAAAAAAACCATTCAGAATAGCCAACTGTTACCTCCAGGTGGTAGGCATTTGGAGAATTTATTTTCTAAAATGAGCATACATTACTGTTATCATCGAGAAAAAGTACTATCCTCAACATTTTTATATCCTTTTGAAAAAGAAAAAAATGATGTTATCATTAGCTATAAATAAACCAATAATTTCTATGAAAAGAAGATTCCATCGATCAGAATTAAGACAAAAAGGTTTAAAACAAAATTCTCAGGCTGGTTGAGTGAGCCGGGCTTTGGCTGTTTAGATGTAAACCTGAGACAGTTTAGTCTAATAGTTCCCAATGGCTGGTCCAAATGGCTGTATCTGAATCATCTACAGTCTTTTTTTTTTTATTTTAAAAAATAGATTCCCAAGTCTTATCCCAGACACACTGAGTCAGAATGCCCAGAGGTGAGGCCAGGAAACCAATATTTTTATTAAACAGTCTATTTTTGGGAGCTAATCTACTCTAAATTGTAATGAAACAAAGGCATGACTGTTCTTCACGAGCAGGCAAACTACCCTCCTCCATCAGGTCAGACCCAGACTAGGAAACCAGCAAAGGGTTGTGGGTGAATGGTATGAACTTCTGAGAAAAACATCAGGGCTCATACACCACATGCAGAACGGGACTTAGTCCAGGTCAAGCTGGTAATACATGTGTTTAAAAACAACAAGGTCAGCAGGCTGCTCAAGGTCCTTTTCCAGTTAGTTGGTGGCCAACTTTCAACCGTTTTGTTCCATATGGGGAGAACTTAAAGCAGTTTTTCCTAACCTAGGCAGTCAGTCCCTTTCTAGAGCAGCTGACTATGTTTTTGTTTCTGTTTAAGATACTTTTCCAAAGGCATCCAGTGAACCAGCCCATTCACTTATCCTTTCACCGCCCTTGGTAAACACGTTAACAGGAACACGGAAGAACCAAGGGACAGGAGTGATGAGAAAGCAGGGGGAAAAGAACAAGTAGAGCTTGCCTTCCCTCCCAGCAATCGTCAGAATGCTACGGACGGTCTCTGGGCCTGACTCCCACTCCTCTACCTGTCTGGTCAGTCGTTGTCCCATCTTGAGAGACACCTAGCACTAAGCAGAAGGGGACAGAACAGCCAGAGGCAGGACTGATGCCAAGCAGGTGCTATTGCTAAATGTCTGCTGTTTGCATCTTGCCTGCAAATCATTTTTTTAAAAATTGAATTGCCAAGTTTTAAGTGCCAATAGATCTCTCATAAAAACTGAGATTTCCATTTTTATTGAAAACTTAGGGGCTTTCATTCTCAGTTCCTGTCACTTCCTTACTGCTCAGCACTGAGGATGAGGGTTGATCACTAATGATCACCTTACATCCAGTTTGCATCACTTCTTTTTACTTTATGTTCATTTTATTTATATTACCTACTTGGCTCCCATAGACATGTGAAGTTGTCACTTCCCCTCCATCCCTTCCACCTGTCTATATCCACAGGATCCTTCATGGGACTCCACTTGTCCCCCAAGGTCCAAGGGCTTACACACAACATTCTCAACATCTTTGGACTGGACAAGCCAAATGGCAAGATGAAAAAAAAGGTGTATTTGCAGTCTACATTTGGAAGAGCTAACACATTTACTGGCTCATGGTCAGTTGGATGGAACCCCATACTTCTGAAATATTCACTCCTACCCCTTCCTCCCATTAAAGAAAAAAGATAACTTAGGCAGTAGCTGGGTCTACAGTAATTTTATTGTAACAGAGAAACCAGGCTGCAATAAATCTACATGATTAGAGCAGATGGTGGATCTTTCCAAGGGGTGAGGCCTGAGCCTGCTGGCAGCACACAAGCCCAGAAATCCTCTTTCCTGGAACTACCTTGCATTGCCTGACTCGTGATGTGACATGAGTGACTGCACTACCACACTGAATGAAGGGAGAGGTCCAACTGGGCAGAGGAAACATCCTGACAGGGGACAATTACACAATCACTGAAGAGGATGCTGAAATAAAATGCAGTTACCTACTCTACTAGTCTTTGCCAAGAAAGGCGAGGGTATGGCATGAGCAGAAAATGATGTTCTTCATTCTTAAATAAATCCTGATAGGATGCAGTTGATGGTCAACCAAGTAGCAGAATGGGATGAAAACTCTAGGCTAGTTAAAGAACAGCAATGATAAGGGAGAAGAAAGAGCCTTCTTTTTCTTTTTCTTAAATAGGACAGGAAAAAGCATCTTTTATTTTCCTTGCTGCAGTGACGGCAGACTCACTGGTTTTCATAAAACAGTTTCTGTAATTTGGTCTGTTGATATGGTGGCTCCATCATGGAAGGACAAACATGAGGTCGACTGTTAATGAGAACTAGGTCTTCTCTCAAAGCTTCTAGTATGTGCTGTTTCTCATAAGGAACACTGAACACGTAAGATGCTTCAGTTAAAGCTTTTGAAATATTGCAGTGCCGTGACTGACAGGTTTTTTGGTGCTGAGATTTTCTTGCACATGTAAACTCCTTTGGAAAAGATGGAGATAAAAGGATGGAGGAAAGTTTGGTTTACAGTTAAAAGTTCCAGACACCAGCCAGGGATGCCTCTGCCCTATTTTACTACAAGTTCTTTTCTGAGAAAGACGTTCGATCACTGAGTGTTATGCACTGTGGTTGAAGAGATGATCCATTCACCACCATCCACCCTCCCTCATCCTCTGTGTGAATCTCACAATAGCAGAGGCTGAAGACAGGTTGTCTCTGTTCCCTTGCACCAGGAAATTACTTGGTGACCTGATGGATGGCGTGGGCAAGGTAGCCTACGTTGCCTGAGGTGACCCCCGCCACAGAGATGCGGCCATCCTTTGTCATGTAGATGGAGAACTCCTTGATCAGCCGTTCCACCTGCAGAGAGAAAAGAGCTTGGATACTACTTCCTGGGCAGGAGGATTTCTGCAGAATGGCACCATAGCCAACTTGTTAAAATAGAAAAATAACAGAAGCTCCATTTCCTCACTTAAGCCCTACTCCCAGAACTTGGTGTGCTAAGTGTAGAGTAAAAGAAGAATAAAAAGCTATCTTAAAGTAGGATGATAAATTCTGAGGGGTGAACAGGTAAAAACAAAATCTTATATCTAGCACAGAACCAGAATTCAGTTAAGGAACAGCTTTTTCTCCTATCTTTCTTCGGAGAAGCAGCAATGTTCATAAACACAATCAAAACAAGCCCAGCTCTTCAGAAGTTTGCAAGTTCATGGGGGATAAAGATAGGTAAACAACTAATAACAAAACAAAACAAATGCTTTACCTAAGAGGACTCCAAAATAACTGTTTTTGGGGTAACCCTGAACAGGTAGGTGACCTATGAGGAATTCTTCTGGTTTGCAAGAACTGATCAATTGGATACCTGCAGAGAAATCAGAGTCCACTCACCTGTTCAGGCTTTAGCCCTGTGAAGCAAAACATGCCAATCTGATCAGTGATGTGTTGCCAGTTTTGGGAGGAGCCCTCCTTCTTGAGGTTGGAGACCAGCTGAGTCCGCATGCCAATGATGCGGTCGGCCATGCCTTTCACTTCATGCAACCTGTAAGGAAACCCCAAGATGCAGATTCTGCTGGCTATGCACTGACAGGTAAGCCAGAGTTGATAGCGTTTTTACCTCCTTGAGTACTCCCTAGTGTGCCTCAACTCTCAGTCCTTGACTGGGTTACATGCTGTCACTGGCCAGGAAAGGAAGCTATTTTATAGCATTCTGTTTTCTACCGGATCACTATTTTGGTCAGGCAACTAAAATAGTTAACACACTTGAGTACAAATTGCTCTAAAACTTACAAAGACTAAGGTAAAAATCATGAATTAAACAATAAAATATGACCTTATTTTTAACATGGGTGGAATAAACACTCCTGCCTTTACAATTAAGACAACACACTGTGAACCTACAATGGGCCAAGCCACATGCTAGGTGCAGAAGACTGAGACATGGTTCTTGCCTTTAAAAGCTTACAATAGAGGCTGGGAGCCAATCCTATAAACATCCAACTAACTATGGAACAAGGCAACACAATGTAAAACTAACAGAACAATGCTGTGCAAAGGAGCCCCAAGGAGAGAGGGTTGATTCTGTCTGGGGGACTGGAGAGGGCAGTCCTCTGGCTGTGCACACAGCTCGCCTGATTCTAAACACAATCTTCCCCTTCCTCACAATCTACCCTTTCTTTCCATTCCCATGACTGTCACCAACTGGATGACTATAAAGACATTTATATTTTATCACCTTGTTCTTTTGTGTTCACTTTCCTAAAACTATCTCTCTCTGATGATGTCATGCACGGTTACAACAAAGGTTATAAGGTGTCAATTTAAGGTCAAGTATGTTTTATTTGACCCAGTGAAACACTTTACAACTGGGCACTTACACTAAAAACCTGGATTTGTAGTTTCTCTTGAAAAATGAGAAGCTGGCAGCACTGTGTTAACAATGTGACCACTGGCTAGGGCTGAGGGGCCCCGATCCTCTAGGTGTGGCATCTGATTTTAAATTTCCTGCAGTCCCCATCCTTCCAGCTCCATTCACTCTGAAGCCTGGGTCTTAAAGGCATTGAGTGTCTGACTGTGGATAGATCTGGTGCCCCCTCAGCACAACCACCACATTCTCCTTGTTGCCCAGAGAATAAAGTTCTGAAGCTCACGATTTCAGTCAAGGTGCACCATTATCAGCTCATCTTCTCAGCTTGGCTGCCTTCTACATTCCTTCTCACACTCAGTATTTTTGCCACAGAAACCACTTTGGGCTTTCTATGCACATTCTGTGCAATGCACGTCCTGTGCCTGTGCCTTTTTTCAGGCGTTTCCCTGGCCCCTTCATTTCCTTTGAAAAAAAAAAAAAAAAGCCCACACCTCTCTTTAAGGTACAACTCAAATACTGAAGTCTTCATCACATCTTCTCCAACTCCCCACTAGAATCAATAGGTCTTCCTTTAGTCAGCATTTATTCCACTCTGTCTTTTTTTTTTGGCAGCTGGCTGGTACTGGGATCCGAACTCCTGACTTTGGTGTTATAACACTGTGCTCTAACCAGCCAGCCTTTTTTTTTTCCCCTCATTCTGTCTTCTATCAGTGATATGTGTGTATCTTTCTGACTGGATTACAAACTCCCTGAGGGTAGAGACTATGTCTTAGTCATCTAGCACAGTATCTCTGTCATCTTTGTCCACTGAAGACTCTCAAATGTGCATTAAAATGCACACATTAAAGAAAAAATCTTCAAAACTATCAGGAAATATGAAAAAAAATAAATATATATAATAAAACACTTAAAAAATTAGGTTAAAAAAGCTTATCAGATCCCATACTTGTCAGCTGCCAAAAACAAACAGCTTTAGTATAATTCTAAGTGGCAAAACTAAAACCAGTCCTACATATACATATATAACAGTATGTTACAGGTTTGGATCCCCATACTGACCAGCCACCAGAAAATAAAACAAAACAGAAAACCCCCCAGTATACAACCATGGATAATGACAGGCCAGGAAATATAAGCTGGGTTATAGTGGCTAGAGTTATGGTTAATTTTTTCCCTCTCCCAAACTTTCAGAAATTTACTTACACATTAATTTTATAGTGGAAAAAATTTTTTTTAAATGAAAAAGGAGTCAATTTTTTGGTAAGCCTAGCATGGATCTATTGTACTAAGAAGAATTGTCATGAACCAGACTCTTATTATTTACTTCAATGTTCATAGGATTAATTTATAATAGAAAAAGTAGTTGTCACATGATGACATATGAAGTTTCCTGGAGACAGTAGATAGCAGATTTAGCTTTTCTACCCAAGAAGCTGTTCAGAAATCTGTCCTCTCAATTAAGCAGCTATGCAGGATAAACTCATACAAAAAAAATCACATCTTCCTAAGCATCTTGGTTTTTACAAACTCTGAATTATATAGAACGGGCTGGCATGCTTTCTGTAAAGGGCCAAATAGTAACCATTTTAGGCTTTATGTGCTATATGATCTCTGCCTGTCACAACTACTAAACTCTGTGATTGTAGCATGAAAACAACCATACACAATTCATAAATGAGTATGGCTGTGTTCCAATAAAACTTTATTTACAAGAATAGGGGGCAGACTGGATTTCACCCTTACAACAGAATTCGCCAAACCCTGATCAAGAGCAGTGTTTTCTAAATTGTGAGTCATGACCCATTCTCATTAGTAGGATATAAATTCAATTAAGTAAGATGGAGTTGGCATGTAGAAAATATTGGAGTATAGCACATGAAGGCCTAAGTACTGAGTTTTAAAAATGGATTCAGCTATATATACATATACATATAAGTGTGTTCAGGGTCATGATGTAGAATATATTTCTTATGTGGGCTGTGGTAAAAAAGACCAAGTAACACTAATTTGGAGAACAGGTGTTGAGATTTGGATATAGAGATAGATATATAATGTATAGAAAATAAAAACCAAAAATATGCAGAAATACTGATTCAGTGCTACCTATTGTTAGGATAAAAACAAAAATATGATCTTAAGGAGGAATTTCCTATATAAGGCAATGTGAACTTGATTTTAGGGGAAGACAGGTTTTACTTACATGGAAATGATAAAAATAAAAGAAACCGCCATTTCTGAATTATGTCAGTTTCTTATAGGGAAAGATCAACTTATTTGTATAAAAGTATTAACAACATTCACACTCCTCTCTCCCTTCACCCTCCTTCCACATATGGAATCTATAGGTACTGTACATCAGT